GGGCATTCGCCGCCGTCGACATCGACGACACTTCGACGAAGACTAAGACGACGACTGCGGCGACGACCGGTGGTCAAATCGGCAAGGCCTTCTCAGAAACATCGCCGTTGCGCAACGGAACTCTAAGCGGGTTGCAATGCAGTGATGACAAAGAGAAACGCCGTCCGACGGCGGTGGGAACAGTGTCAGCTGCCGAGGTGATGGTACGTGATTGTCGTAGGCTTTTGTTTTTTGTTTCTCCTCGTTCTTTGTACACAAATTCATCGTAAGATGTTCGACGTTACAATAAGAGTAAATCAACATGCTTTTGCAAGTCAGATCTGTCGTGATATGACGTGATGCAGATGTACATCAACGGCCTTAGATCACCACTGACTTGGGCTGTTAAGATTTATCAGATTTAACAAATCATTGAAATATTTGCTTCTTGTCGTCAGCGGCTCGTGTTTCCTCGTGGATAATTAAGTTGCACTATAGGCAGATTGTAACAAAATGTTTGTAGCTGCTTTTAGATTTCGAATGTTGAATTCGTCGAATAGGAGAAATTACTACTACTAGTACAAATTTTGTGATTGTTCTCATAATTTTTGCTTTGTGCATCTTGAACTGTATCTATTTTTGTTATTACCATTGAAGTTTGTATCAGTGTATTGTTTTTCTTTTGTAGCACAAGCCGGTTCCAGAAGTTGCTGCTCCGCCAGGTTTGTCCGGTGCCAAATCTAGTCTTCTCAGCGTTTCGCCTAAACAAGTAGTTCAAAGGTTGGTTAGCGTCAACCTAGTAAAGCGCGCAGGAACGTCGAGCTGTGCATCGACTCAGTGTTTGCTACCACTGATTAGACGCTTATCGTGTACTCTTGTGTTACGCCACGTAGTGGAGCGGTCCCTGATGACGAGCATCACCAAACGTGAAGTTAACTTCGACACCCATATCAACCGTCCTTATGCGGCCAAGGGTGTCGCTGCATCTGCCACCTTTGTAATCTGTGATCAAAACGTCGAGGTCGACATGGTCAAGCCGCAGGAAAAGTCAGCTATCGCATCTGGGAGCGTTCCGTCGGTAGAACAGGCGAAGACCGATTCAAGTATTCGCCAACACGTCTCTGACGTGTCGATTACCTGCCAGCCACCGATTAAAAATGTTCCACACGTCGCCGATGCAGAAGATTCGCACCGACATTTTCTGTCGTTCGCTAATGTCATTGAAAAACCTGTTGAACGGTTGGTCTCCGTGCCAACTCAACAACGGTCGG